CGCACTACCACGCCCGGCTGATTTTTTGATTTATTGTAGAGATGAGGTCTCGCTGCCCAGGTGGGTCTCGAACCCGCGGATTCAGTCAATCCACTCACCTCAGCCTCCCAAAGGTGCAGGATTACAGGCTGAGCCACCGAGCCCGGCTCAATTAGGTATCTAGACCTGTTTTTACTTTTCGTGTTTCTCTATTCCTTGTCTTCTTAGCTCGAGACAGTCACCTCTCTGAAGAGCCAACAGTAAAAGATGGGCAGCTGGCTAATGGGAGGGGTCCAGCCTCAAGGAAGGAAGGTATACAACCTGGCAGCAGGTTGCCTGAATACCCATTCTAACATATCCAGTCTAACAAATATTGACTCACCCTGTATCCTGTGTCAGGGGGCATGGTGCTAGGGGAATATAAAGCTGAGTAAGGTATAGTTCCTGACCTCAAGGAGCTTGATATTCTAAAAGGGAAGCAAGAGAAGAACACAAGTGACCCAGGGTCCAAGTGAATTGATATGGCAGTTCTGAAAAAAGGAAAGGTGTGTGTGGTGGGGGGATTGGGGATGGTGGGAGAAACCAGTAAAGCTTCATCCAAGATGGATGTTGGGTTCTGAGAACTGGAGGTAAGAGAAGGGCATTTTAGGAATAAGAACAACATGGCTGGACGTCTGGAGGGAAAAGGAAGGGTACATTTGGTGAGGAGTCCAGTTTCACCAGAACGTGAGGTACGGACAAAGGCAATAAAAGAAGAAGAGGTAGGCCGGGCTTGGTGGCTCAGCCTGTAATCCCAGCACTTTGGGAGGCTGAGGCGAATGGATTGCCTGAGTCCGTGGGTTCGAGACCAGCCCAGGCAACTTGGCAAGACCTAATCTCTACAATAAATAAAAAAATTAGCCCGGCATGATAGTGTGCGCCTGTAGTTCCAGCTACTTGGAAGGCTGAAGTGGAAGGATCACTGGTGCCCAGGAGGTCGACACTGGGGTGACTGTGAGCTTGGCGACAGAGTGGGATTCCAACTCAAAAATAAAAAAAGGAGAAGAAGTTAGAAAGGCAGGTTGAGGCCAGAGCATAGAAAGCCTTTAATGCCAGGATAAGGAGCTGAGACAGAATTGTTAGGGTGGGGGAAAAAAAGCCTGAATTTTAAGAGAGGAATGAGACATATAAGGAAAAGAGGCAAAGACAAAAGGAGAAGTTGCCTGGTGCTATGGCCAAATCCCAGGTTAGAGGGACAGGTCCAACCTGTCTCCATCCCAGCCCCATTTGCATGAAGAGACCCATTGCAGTCTCATCTTCCAAGCGCCTGGGGCAGAATGTGAATTGAGAAATCCAAGGTAAATGGGGAACAGTCCATGCCTCCCCCTCCCAGAGCCCCGGGGGTGGGTGACAGGATCTGGTGGTGAGTCAGTGGGGTGGGGACCCCATTTCTGCTCACATTTGCCTCCTTGGGAATATAAAGAGCAAGCATGGAGGCCCCGCCTCAGAGCACCCCAAATTTGACACCATGAAGATCCCAGTGCTTCCTGCTGTAGTTCTACTGTCTCTCCTGGCACTCCAGTCTGCCCAGGGGGCTGCCCTGGGTAGTTCTGAGGTAAGCACATCACCTGCTTTTTTTTCTTCTTATACTTTTAATCTACCTACCCTTCAATATCTTTTTACCTTCTATTCACTACTGGATAAATGGCTCTTATTTTTGGATATTGTCAGGGGATGAAAGGGAAGCTGGGGTTCTGAGGGAGGAAAAGAGGAAGGGAACAGAGCATTCCTGAGAAGACATTTAGGGACAGAGATGCTTATATTTCTGAAAGGGATAGTGAAGTCTGGGGTGGAAGCTAGTTTACTGAATACTGGTGGGAGACAGGGCTGAGGTGGATTCTCTGGGTTCAGTCTAATCTTCGCTTGTTTGTATCCCTGTGAACAGCTTCCAAGTGATTAGAGGCTCTCTACTGTATCTGGGGTGTAGGCCATAGAGAGAATTCTTACAATCTAGTCCCCAACCAGGAGTCCTGAGGCCCTCTATTCCTATTTTATCCTATGGTGGGGGATGTCCATTCTGGGTTTTAAAGTCTAAGAAAGGGGTCAAAGGCTCAACTACTGAGGATCCAAGCAAGGGGTGTCAGCAGAGCCTCAGATGAAGTGGGTCGAACTTGCCCAGTCTAAAAGTCTTCACTCCAGCTGGATGCTGTGGAGTGGGAAAATGTACCTACTATGGTCAGAGTCTTACATTTTCAGGAGAAACAGAGAATCTGAATTTATTTATGAATTATTATTAAAAATGTTTAATTCATATTAAAAACCAATCAAGTCAAACTTCTATGAGATCTAAGCATCCAAATCCAGCCTGTGGGCTCCGTGTTTGTGACCTCTGTTGAGGGGAGGAAGTGAGTAAGGAAGCTGGCAGGATGGGATACACTGAGGTTTGAGGTGTTGCCAGACGGAGGAGAGAAACAGAGATACCAGCAGTGGTGGCAGTGAAGTCACCAAGCAAACCTATCTCAATCAGAGGCAGGTAGGTCACCTCAGCAGCTTGACTCTCACCTGCTTGCTAATCTTTCCCACCCAGCTATACGGGTGAAGTGTGTCTCTGGAACACCCCAATTCAACTAAGGATTTAGTTAACTGCAGAACAACACTGGCTAGTTTTTCTTGGGAGGAGTCCTCTTCGATCCACCCTTTCCATCTGCCACCTGTATGGATGCAGGCCTGGGTCTTGAATTTCTCTGTCTTATACACGCCTTTCTCTAATCCTCCTTCTTACCTTGCACACCTGTCAACCATGTGCATGACTGGAACAGAGTGGGTTAACATTCCGAGGCCCCATGGTGGAGAATGGATTGCCTTCTCTCAGGGACTGGTCCAAGGCAGAACTGTCAGAGAAGGGATGTGAGAAAGGGACCTGCCATCATGTAACCATTGCCTCCTCTTCTCCCTCTCACTTTCCAGGAAGACAACACCATCGGTAATTATGCAGTAGGATCTGAGGTAAAGTATCTGTTTTCCCACACACTCCAGCTGTATGTTTGTCGCCTACATTTGTGCTCCTTTGTGACTTTCTTAACACCCTACTTTTTTGCCTAGGCCTTTTACACTCCATTCCTGAACATCGACAAGTTGCGATCTGTAAGTACACTTCTCTAGCACTACCTCTGTGAATATCCACATTGTAGAGATGAATGCCCTGGTAGAGAGCTTGCAAAGCTGCCACGTTCTCTTCACCTCTTCCAGAGGACTAGGAGCTAAGTTCTGCACTTTCCTGGATCTCACTTTTTCTGTTCTCATTCTCCTTAGGCTTTTAAGGCTGATGAATTCCTGAACTGGCACGCCCTCTTTGAGGTAAGGGCTTCAGTGCCCCTTGTTCTCCTTGATTTGTCTGCAGTCTTTCCAGGGTAGTGGCAGCACATTCTAGGAGGGATGCCTGGATGCTGCCCAGTGTATTGTCAACCAAAGAAAGCTTCCCCAGGAGGCTGTCATGATCACACCCATTTTTCTAAGATGGCCGTGGAAGAGCAGGGCTCCAAAGACAATTCCAGAAGAGAAAGGACTTCGTCAAGTTCTTATTTGAAGCCCCACCATCCTCTATGAAAAAACTCAACCTCTATGAAAAAACTGAGGCTCACCCAAATTTAGAAGGCTAAGCAGCCGGGCTCGGTGGCTCAGCCTGTCATCCCGAGCCTTTGGGAGGCTGAGGTGAGTGGATTGCCTGAGCCCGCGGGTTCCAGACCCGCCTGGGCAGCGAGACCTCATCTCTACAATAAATCAAAAAATCAGCTGGGCGTGGTAGCGCATGCCTTTAATTCCGGTTACTCAGAAGGCTGAGGCGGAAGGATCGCCGGAGCCCAGCAGGTTGAGGCTGCCGTGGCCGGAAGCGGGCCACTGCACTCCAGTCTGGGCGACAGAGTGAGACTCCAACTCGAAAAAAAAAAAAAGAAAGCTAAGCAAGTGACAAAGCTGGAACTAGGGCTTGCATCTCCTGACTCTGCACTTACTATATGACTTCATGCAAGTGTTTTCAGTCCCCCGTCTCAGTTTCCTCATCTGTGATGTGGGAGTAATGACAGTACCTACCTCAAGATATATCTGTGAAGACCAAATGCGGTCATGCCTGTAGAGCAGTTAGTACACGAAGACACAGAATAAGGCCTCAGGAAATATTAGCTCTAATTATAAAGCAATAACACCATCATCACTACAGGAAACTCACTCAGGATTCATACTCACCTGACTGGCAACACATCACTTTCTTTCTCTTTTTTTCTTTTAGTCTATCAAAAGGAAACTGCCTTTTCTCAACTGGGATGCCTTTCCTAAGGTAAGAAGTGGCGAGCATCAGGAAGAAGAGAAGGTTGTGGGTGGGGGAAGAAGCAGAGGATCTGGGAGGGACAGTGGAATCCATGAAAGAAGGATTGAACCTTCTCACCAAAGGGAAGGGAAACCTCGACTACTGTATATAGAGGAGAATGGGAAATTGCACCCAGGCAGAAATTCCTTTCCTTTGGTGCCCCGTCCTATCCTGTGCTTCCTTGTGGGGATTCTAGCACCTGGGCGCCCCCAATCTAACCATAACCCTCTTCCCTCTAGCTGAAAGGATTGAGAAGTTCAACTCCTGATGCCCAGTGACCATGACCTCCACTGGAAAAGGGGACTCGTGTGGGATCTGATACCTATCCTAAGACAACTCTTTCTTGTTTCAGTAACTCCAATAAAATGTTTTCCATCCAAAACAGCTCTTGTGGCAGTGTCTGTGTTTTTACCCTACTTGTCTCTAGAAAAGAATTAAGATGAAACGAACTCCAAGGCTGGTAGGTAGAAGTCTTGAATTCTGTGAAGAGAATAAGTAGGGAGATAGGAGGAAATAGGAAGGATATACATACCAAGATGGCAAGAGACCCCTTTGTGTCTTAGCTCCGTAGTAAGGGCTGACATCCTTGAGGACCATGAAGCTAAGAGTTGTTTATTTAGCAAGAAGCCCGAGAAATCAAACCTGCTCCCTGAACTATTGGCATCTTCCCCCCTACCTGCCTTCTGAAAACCTAATTCCTTTTGTAGTGGCAAGTTTGTGTACTAGAGCTATGTGGAATCCAAGGATCAGGACCCAGGTTAAATCATGTGAGCCCATCTGAGATCCTTTTCTTGGAAATAGGTAGGTTATTAACAAAGACAACTAGCAGTGTGACCCTGGAATTTTCTAAACTTCCATTTCCTTATCTGTAAAAAGAGCATGGAAATGAGAATGATAATGGCAACTCTGTGGTGTTGTTATGAAGGCCAAATGAGATAAGTATGAATAAGTATTGAACAGGTCCAAGCATGTAGCAGATTCTGTATTTCTTACCCCCTCACTTCCCTACCCCAGTTTCAACCAGAGAACCACAATGACCCAGATTCACTCATTCACTCAAACACCCATCCACCCATCCATCCATTAACTCAAAGGTCTTGAAAGATGGAGTGGGCCGGGCTCGGTGGCTCAGCCTGTAATCCCGCGCTTTGGGAGGCCAAGGTGAGTGAATTGCCTGAGACCGCAGGTTCGAGACCCACCTGGGCAACTTGGCGAGACCTCATCTCTACAATAAAA